CAAGATCCTCAAGAGAGGCCTCCTGCACAATTTCTATTATTTAATGATAAACTGATTTATCACAACTATGCGTGCTTTTATTTTTACACATAGGTAGCCTACTGCATTAAGTTCCTTAGTAGTCTGTTAGCATGTGTGGTAAGCACAATTGCTACAAGAGAGTAGTGAATCACAATTAAAGAACTTGTGGCGGCGCTGTCGTCGCGCCGCAAGCGAAACACACCGAAGCCTAAATCACGCTAACAAAATTCAGAATCATAAACAGTATATATGGAAAATCTCCGAACTAACACATTGGACGATCCTCGGGCAGAACACCTTGCCCGGCGGGAGATCTACCCTTTTCCTTCCACATCTAAAATCTCTTTAGATAGTATTAACGATGACGGATACTCGCACGCTTTCTACATGGTTCTATAGAATAATTGCGTCGCGACGGCCTGCATCAAAGCCTGCTTATGTCCGCCGTTGAGTAATATGTTCTGTGAATATATTTACTACTAATTTATTATTACCTGCTACTGCCTACATTTTTATAAAATAACGCAAAACATAAAACATAACCTAAAATACATTCATTGCACGATTGTACTAATTTCGCCATCCCTGGAAGCCATAAAAATTGGGCTCATGAAATCGTTCTAAATGCTCTAAATAGTGGCCAATTTTCAGCTCTGTAGCGCCAGGTCCCATTTTGTATGGAGAACGGGCTAGTCCTATATTGATTTCAATAAATTCATTGTAGTTCTTGCAATTCATGAGTGCAGTCGACCTTTGGATGTGGTTCGAGATGTACATGCACAGTATAACAGTGTGCGTGCCTGGCGGAGTGGTCAGCTCACTTTCAGGCCCCACGTCAAAAGAGTAACCCGTCACGCACGGTTTTATCTGAGTAGGCTCAACAGTATGTTGGGCCGACACAGTAAAATGTCCCTTCGAAACAAGCGTACCCTGCGTACCCTTTACAAGGTCTGTATACGACCAGTCATGTCCTACGCGGGCCCCGTCTTTGCCCACGCAAACCCTAATATTTTAAATGAACTCCAAATAGTTCAGAACCTCTTCTGTCGTCGAGCTGCGAACGCACCTTGGTACGTCCGTAATGCCGACCTTCATCGGGACTTAGAGCTCCCAACAATTCAACAATTTTTTAAAAAACTCTGAGAACTTCTTCAAAGCCTCAGAGTCGCACCCAAACCATTTAATTCGTGAGGCAGCTTCTTATGCAGCCCCACCCCCCTCTCGCTATCGTGTCCGCAGGCCGAGAAACTTTCTCTCGGACCCGCCTAATAAACTGTCAAACGACCTGAACTGTCTCCTGGCGGCTCAGGCCAACTCTAATTAAATTAAATTATTGCATTAACTAACATTAATTTGCCTTCGTAGGCACTCCCTCAGCGGCTCTTAGCCGCCAGCGCCCTCTTTTCCCAAAAGAGGGTCGCTCATGATAAGGCACAATACAGCTTAATCAGCCGGCTGCCTGTCCCTAAAGGCGGTTTTTAGAGGGTATCACTTAGGGTCCCCGGTAGGACAGTGAGCCCCCTCATAACCACGATAGACCGGCTATCGTGGTATTCGTAATGCATTTTGCGCCTCCCTACGTATAGGGTAGCCCTTTAATTGCTTCGGGCGCAAAAAAAAAAAAAAAAAAAACGGAGTGGTCAGTCGCAAGCGGACGCCCGTGTCATATTCCTTCACCCCCATTTATTCGCTCTAACTGAACAGTAAATTTAATGGCGCTAAAACTGGCAAACACAAATATATAGTTACTTGTACATGCAGTCCAAAATGGGAATATTTGATTAACGCTCAGACCGGACCGGACAGGATAATAGTCATTTCATGCTAAATAAAATTGGAAACGCCTATGTTAAATTGAGATTTAGTACGTCAGTTATGTAAGATTCTTAATTTCCGCATCAACTCGAAAATTATTAAAGTATAAAATTATACACCCCTTAGGGACAGGACGGTCCGCATAGGCAGTTTTTTGCCAACAGTCGTACAGTAACTGTCCTATACATGAAAAGAAAGTCTACTCGGTGCGAAATCTGTCAACCGAGGAGTACTAGCGCCATCTGGCACTGTTGTGGAACAATATAAAATAATATTATGTGCGTGCGTATAATACATGCACCTCAATACATACACCACCGTTCATAGTGATTCAATACGCTTTATGTACTAGGATTAATTATCAACAAAATAGGAATTACGCATTTGAAAAATTTTTTTACATAGCTAATTGTTGACTTGTTTAAATTAGTATGATTTTTCTAGTGTAGATGGCGTTTTTTTTATTTATTTAGGACAACCAACAAGAAGTACACGAACACAATGTAAATACTACAAATTACAGGAAGGTTTATATCTAAGTGTCATCTTAATTAAAGGTTGCCACGGCATGCAATGTGGACAACGAATATGTTTTTTAAAACTTACAACTATAAAGTTAAAACTAGGTCTAAATGTTAGTTAAAAGTAAAGGACTGCATAATTTTTCGTTTGAATTTTTGAGGCTTATCAGCAAAAATATCAACGTCACATGTCTTGCAGAGCTGGTTATATTGCCTCTGTAACCTGTTTATGGTGGCGTGGTGACCTAAATTAGTTTTACTGCCTTCAACTGAAAAGGGGACGTATCGGCTGACACGCACTAGCTTAAAAGGTGCCTTGAAATTTATTGCACTTAGTAGGTATGGACAGTCTACGGTTCCATTGACGATTTTGTGTAGCAACACGAAATCTAGCAAAAAGCCTCCGCTGTTGCAGGGTACTTAATTTAAAATACGTAAGTCGGTCTTCGTATGACGGTAGATCCTTTATTTTGTAAGTTTGGTACAAAAGATACCACAAAAACGCTTCTGGATACGCTCACGTAAATGTCATAAAATGGAGACCAGACCTGACTACAGTATTCGAGGCTGGAACGGAGTAAAGACTTGTACAAGGATATTTTTGTAGAGGTCCTCTTAAATTCTTTAGAATTACGCAACACGAACCCAAACATTTGAAGACCCCTTGTAACAATTCCATCAACGTGCTTATGAAAACGCAACTTTTTGTCCAGAATCACACCCAGATCTTGAACAGAGTCCACTTCTACCAAAGGATGACCATCAATATTATACATAGGTGTCGGAACATTTACACACCTTGAGAATCTTATAATTTTACATTTATCGAGGTTCAAAAATAGTCTGTTCTTAATGCACCACAAAGACATCCGGTCCAAATCCTCTTGCAATAGGAGTGAGTCACTGTGGTCTTTCATTTTCAAGGACAATTTCATGTCATCTGCGTACAGCAGGTCGCGTGTTTAAAAACTGACGCTAAGTCATTTATAAAAATATTGAAAAGGATCGGACCGAGAAGGGAACCCTGAGGAATACCAGACGTAGGTAGAAATGGTTCTGAGGAGTAACCATTTACCACAACTCTCGATTTTCTCTCTGCCTGAGGTATGAAGAGAACCATTCGAGAAGATTGCCAGTGATGCCCAAAATTGAGAGTTTGTGAAGTAAGATGTTATGATCTACAATGTTAAACGCCTTACTGAAGTCTGTGTAGATGGTGTCCACAGACAAGCGGGAATCGAGAGACTTGGAGACATAGTCCACAAACGAAACGAGATTTGTAGCTGTAGAGCGAGATGTTAAAAAGCCCGATTGTTGGGGTGAGATTATTTGTTTTATGTGCCAAGCCAAAACAGGATAAACTAATGTTTCAAAAACTTTAGCGAAGACAGACAATATGGATACTGGTCTGTAATTTCTGACGGATCCTGCGTCTCCTGATTTATAAATTAGGACAATACGTGCCTATTTACAGACCGAAGGGAAAGTACCCGTTTTTAAAGACATATTGAAAATGGTTGTTAAAGGCAAGGATAACGTTTCGCAGCAGTTGATTACAAACAAAGAGGGTATGTTGTCAGGTCCAGCTCCCTTGGTCCGATTTAGACCAGTAAGAGTTTCGAGTACTTGATCTTGTGAGAAGTGCAGATTAGCAAGATAATTTGAGGTACAAATTTGTTCAACAGTGGTCACAGACAGTACTGAGCTAGTGTTATACACCGATGCGAAAAATGAGGCAAAGAGATTGCGTATGCCGTCACCATTATCTGCTTTGTCATCACCGAGTCGTATTCATTGCTATTACATTTTTTATTTTTGATGAACTTCCAGAATAACTTTGGATTTTTAGAAAGTGCTCCCTCCAGATCCGCGACATAGTTTTTATGACAGGTGCTTATTAATTCGGCGCATCTTTTGCTAAGTGTTTGTAATGCAAGTTCGTCCAGTGGATTTTTGTATTTACGGTACCTTAAACGAAGTTTGTTTTTTTTCTTGAGGAGATTTATGAGTTCCTTTGTGTACCATACTGGAAACTTTTTTGTGGAGGGTTTACATTTTCGAACGTACTTAGTAATCGTGTGTGTTAAAACAGCATAAAATTCTCTTACCATGACATCAACCGAACATGAATATTGTATACGGTCCCATGAAACTGAATTTAAATGTGTTATGATTTTATCGTAGTCCGCCTTATGAAAGTTATATCTTTGGCTTTGAGCGTTAGGCAATAAACTTGGCGGATCACAACACGAAAATGTTAGAACTAAGGGAGGGTGGTGAGAGTCGGGGTTACTCAGAAGAGAGTCACCACGCACCACACCACTAACCTTCAGCGTGCTGGAGGGAACGAGATCAAGAATTCTATCTTTCTCATTTAAAATATAGTTATATTGAGTGAGATTATTAAGAGCAATAATAATAATAACCCCACCACTGCCTGGAGGTCGCCAGGGCGCGTCTGGAGCTGGCGCTGGACGCGACAGCTTGTGAACCGCCAGCCGAGCGAGAGGTGCTGCACGACCACCCATCAGCCCCTCGCATCCATCATTCCCAGCAGCTGGCTTGGTGTCGGCAGGGTCTTCACGGGTCCAGCAATCGGCACCCGCCACTGGTGGAGTACGCCGCATGCGATGGACAACCGAAATGAATACTAACGCATTGCGGGCGTATTTTGGGGCGAAAGGGGGAGAAGTTGGAGGTTTGGCGTATCAGGCTAGGATGCATCGTCTTTTTGCTGAGCTGGAGCCATCTTTAACCGTCGCAGAACAAAACTTGGCAGACCGGGTTCGGTATATCTTGCGCTCAAATATATTTGATGTCGCCGAAATCGAACGACTACGACGTGAGGCTGTTCCCTCATCGGATGAAAATGCTACGGCTGAGGATGCGGCGCCACAATTTGCAGAGCGACCCGCAAACGTGAATGCCGCCATGAATACCCCGATGTGGTTGGTTTAAACGATGATAGAACAGTCACCCAGGAACTGGAATTAGAGCATATGAGGAGTACATTGGAAACGCGCAGTACGCCTCTCGAAAATCGACCGCGACTTCCCCGCATAGCCCTAAGCAAGCGGAATCGGGCTGTCGTGAGGGCTCTGAAACCAATGCTGGTGACCTATTTGGAAGCCAGCCGGGACCTTTGCGAGACGGACTCAATTCTTTTTGGTGCCGCATTGGCAGTGTGCCGTATTATAGGCGCCAAACTTTACGCGCTACTGGACAAAGTAGCGCTATCCCAGCCTGGAGAATAAGAATTGAAGAACGTATCGCAAAGGCTAGGGCCCTCATCGGCAGACTGATATGCTTCAGGTCAGGCAACAACAAGCCAAGGATTGTGCGCACCGTCAGGATGGCATTTGCTGGGACAAATGTTAGTTTGTCCCAGCCGGATATAATGCAAAAACTGACGGAGCGCATAGACGACCTAAAGCAGAGAATCGCTGCTTGGGGAAAGCGGATTCGACGATATAACGAGAGGTCGACACGGTTTAACCAGAATCGTCTCTTCCAGAGTGATCAGAAGAGGCTCTATAAATCGTTGGAGCGACCAATGGTGAGTGGAACGGGCCCAGCACCGAACCAGGCCGACACTGTAGCATTCTGGAGCGGCCTGTGGTCAGAGCCCATAAACCACAGCGAGGGCCCTTGGACGGAAGTTGTGGCGAGTCAGTGTGCGAGTATAACGCCCATGGAACCCGTCATTATAACGCCGGATGACGTAGCTGAGGCAGTCCGTAGGGCCCCGAACTGGAAAAGTCCGGGACTCGACGGGCTGAATCACTACTGGCTGAAGGGGTTTGTGGTGTGTCACACTGTGCTCGCCCGACAGTTCCAAGAGGCTCTCAACCAGAAGTCGCTCCCGAGCCTCTTCACTACTGGGATCACGCATTTGGTTCCTAAAGACCAGGTTACCACAGACCCGAGCAAATACCGCCCCATCACGTGTCTGCCGACCATATACAAGACACTAACATCCATTTTGAGCGCGAGAATCACTCGTCACCTGGAATCAAATCAGGTGATGTCGCGCGCTCAAAATGAATGTCGGGGCGGCGGTTGTGGAACCAAGGAACCACTCCTCATTGACGCGGTCATTGGCAAAGTGGTGAAACGCAACCATCGGAACTTCTCCGCCGCCTGGATAGACTACAGAAAGACATTTGACTCGGTGCCCCATACATGGCTAAAGAGGGTCCTCGAGCTGTACAAGATTGACTGTACATTTCGAAACTTCCTCGAGCAGTGTATGGGGCAGTGGAGTACGATCCTCTGTTATCTAGGTGAGCAGATGACGGCTGCGGAAAGCCGCATAAGGATAAGAAGGGGTATATTCCAGGGCGACTGTCTGAGTCCAATCTGGTTCTGCATCTCTTTGAACCCTCTCAGTACTTTACTGGAGGGTTTCGGGAGGGGATTTCAGCTTCGGAAAGGAGGTACAAAAGTGACCCACCTTTTCTATATGGATGAACTCAATGATTTCTTATATTTACGCGAACATTGCACATGATTAAAACTACTTTTACGGATTTTATCGCGTTTATTTTTACTTTTTATTTTTAATTCCCGACGTTTCGGGCGCTTTCCAGCACCCATGGTCACGGGGGACTGAGATGACTGACGTCCCGATGTCATTGTTAAACCCGGAGAACCTTCAGCTTTTTTAATTATTGTTTATGGTCCGATCTATGCAAAATGAACTGACTATGTCCTGATGTCTTGCAGTGGTATGCTTGGGTTTAGTTTTAATTTTATTGATTATAGGATCCCAAGCAGGTGGTAGTACCCAGCCTCCTTCTCTATTGAAATTAGGATGTTTTTTTAATTTCAATAGCCTCACGTATCATCCTTGGTAGGAAGTCTGCAGTTTGTGATCATATCCTAGACGGCCCCAACCATTACATCAGATTTGATAGACCACAAATCCTCGCGAAATAACACCGATTCCTACCAAGGATGATACGTGAGGCTATTGAAATTAAAAAAACATCCTAATTTCAATAGAGAAGGAGGCTGGGTACTACCACCTGCTTGGGATCCTATAATCAATAAAATTAAAACTAAACCCAAGCATACCACTGCAAGACCTCAGGACATAGTCAGTTCATTTTGCATAGATCGGACCATAAACAATAAAAGCTGAAGGTTCTCCGGGTTTAACAATGACATCGGGACGTCAGTCATCTCAGTCCCCCGTGACCATGGGTGCTGGAAAGCACCCGAAACGTCGGGAATTAAAAATAAAAAGTAAAAATAAACGCGATAAAATCCGTAAAAGTAGTTTTAATCATGGATGAACTCAAATTATTCGCCTCCAGTCGCTTTCATCTTATGGAATTGCTAAACATCACTTGTGAATTGAGCAATTCTATTGGAATGGAGTGCATAGACTTATCTATGCCCGTCAACTTAGGGACCCTTTCCGAGAAACATACCGATACCTGGGTATGTCACAGAACATCGGTATCGATGAGGCTGGTATGAAACAGTCAGTTTGCGACACGTTTTATGCACGCTTGTCCAAAGTGCTTAACAGCCTTTTGTCCAGTGTGAATAAGGCACACGCATATAACGGCTGGGTCATGCCTGTCCTCATGTATACCTTTGGCATACTCAGGTGGACTCAGACCGAACTTAACGCCCTGGATAGAAAAGTCCGCACTACCATGACGTGCCATAGGATGCATCATCCGAGATCGTCGGTAATGAGGCTGTACTTGCCGCGAAAGCATGGTGGGCGTGGCTTCCTGAGCGCGCTCACCATGCATAATCGCGATGTGTGCAGCCTCCTTAATTACTTCCTGGTGAGATCGGATGATCCATTCTATAATGACGTCATTTCTAGTGATAAAGGACTTACCCCTCTATCCTTAGCCAACGAGCAATGGCAAGACCCGGCAGTACAAAGCATTTCCGACCGAGAGACCGTATGGAAGGAGAAGGAGCTCCACGGGAGGTACTACAGGGTTCTACATGAGCCCTTTGTAGATACAGTCGCCTCCCTCAACTGGCTACGTTGCGGTGACCTTTTTGGGGAAACCGAGGGTTTTGTCTGTGCAATATAGGATCAGGTTATTAAGACCAAAAACTATCGGAGATACATCCTAAAGGATGGCACCATCGACATCTGTCGAGCTTGTCGCCATCCCGGTGAGTTACTTAGGCATGTCATCTCCGGTTGTTCGGCGCTTTCTAACTCTGAGTACTTGCAATAGCCAAAGCTCGCTCCGAAATACGGTCTCGTGGATCGGAAATTGCCGTATTACAAGTACTTACCGGAAGCCGTGCTCGAAAATGACCGCGCTAGGCTCTACTAGGACCGAGCCATCATCACAGACAGGATTATTCTTGCGAATAAGCCTGATACCGGGCACAGTCAAGGATATTTTTGTCGACATTACCATTCCGTATGACGAGAACCTCGTGAAAGCCGAAACATATAAACGAACAAAATATCTGGACCTGGCTCACGAGGTGACCGAGGTGGGGTGGTCAGCCGGCCGAAATTATTCCTGTAGTCGCCTCTGCGAATGGGCTAATCCCAGTCAGCCTCTCGGGTCATCTGAGGCGACTGGGACTCCGTGACGGACCGCTCCGGGCTCAAATGCAAAAGGCGGTGCTCCTCGATACCGCCCGCATCGTCCGCCGGTTTCTTTCCCCTTCCTCCTAACCCTCGGCCGTTTGGTCTCCCCTGCAGAGGGCTCCCATCTGGTTGGGCTTTTATTTATTTATGTATTTTTGTATTTATTTTATTTTATTGATATTTATGTATATTTATCGTTTCATTTTAATTTATAATGATATATTTATATAACCCAACCAGATGACAAAACTATATAGATACCCCAAAAATAATAATAATAATAATAATCTTTATTTCTCTCTACAATTGCAGTTTATAACATCATTACATCTAATTTTTTTTTAAGTAACTTACAAATGCTAGTTGTAGAGACTGGTGACAATACTAGGATTCCCTGTGCTACAGCCACCAGGCCTCCACCACCGGACAAATAATCATGGAAAGTATGTACTCATGAGAACTGTATTTGAAAATAAATATAATATAATTTTTAAAAGAGAAAAAAAAAAACAATAAAATGTTTGTATGCTTGCGCGCGCGCGCGTGTGTGTGTGTGTGTGTGTGTGTGTGTGTGAGTGAGTGTGTGTGTGTGGGTGTGGGTGTGTGTGCGTGTGTGTGTGTGTGTGTGTGTGTGTGTGTGTGTGTGTGTGTGTGTGTGTGTGTGTGTGTGTGTGTGTGTGTGTGTGTGTGTGTGTGTGTGTGTGTGAGTGTGTGTGTGTGTGTGTGTTCAGGATGATCAAATTGATTTGATAAGAGCCTCACTATCATCATAGTCTATAGTCAGTAACCATGTTTTAATAGTAAATTTACAGTTTGCTCTTGTTAAAGCGTATATACCCAGTATACTATTTACTCTATTATATAAGGTGCAATTATAACAAAAAGAACCTCTTTACAAATGCTGTTCAAAATTTTTGGTGGACACAAACAATATCCTTTCTGCGTACACATTGTGTCGAAGGGTCATAGGCGGTATTAGAATGTTGTTTTAGGACAGTGTACAATATAAAGAGTTGACGAACCGTTAGTACATTCCATTCCTTGTATAAATCCCTGGTCGGGTAAAGGAAATGGTGAAACTTTGCCACCTTTAGGATGGCTCTTTGGGCTACATCCAGAGACATTACATAGGATTTAGCTGCACCTCCCCATACAGAAATACAGTATGTGAATATGGATTGACAAAGGGCGAAATATACTGCGCGTATAATTTTATATTCAGCAATTTGGCGAAGTACTCTAAAGACGTATATGAGTTTACGTGCACGAGCCGTAAGTTGCTCAATATGAGGCCTAAAAGATAGGTTCTGGTCAATAATTATTCCCAGGTATCCAATTTTGTCAAAAGTTTCTAATCCGGTACAACTACATGCATTTACCAGATCGCAGGTATGAGCTATAAGCGAAAGGTTTTCATCTAAGGGGAGAGAGACATTACGGATTGCAAATGTTACATATTTAGTTTTATCGATATTAATCGTTAGCAAGTTCCCACTTAGCCACTTAAGAACTCTATTTAATCCAGATTGTGCACAAGCAAACGTATCTTTCCAATTATCGCCGCTGAAAACCAAAGCTATATCATCCGCAAAGGACAAAATTCTCCCATTAGATACAATTCGATTCATGATGATTACATGATTTCACAGATTTCATGGAACACAGATCATTGATGTAAACCAAAAATAAAGTCGGACCCAGTATACTGCCTTGAGGTATTCCGTACGTTATTCTTTCTTCATCACTGGTATGCTTTCCTATTTTAACGCATTGCGTTCTATGTGTGAGATAACTTTTAAACAGATCTAGCTGTAAATTCCTTGACACCAAGCCCCTCATGTTTATTTATCAAATAAACTTGAGGGGCTTGGTGTCAATAAAATCCAGTAGAGCATTATCCAATGAGCTTTTGGTTATAAAACTGAGTGGAGAAGACGTATTACGTTTATCCCAGATAATGTTACCCAAATTGAAGTCGCCCATAATTAATGTTTTTGCATTTGATTACAACACACGGTGTGTATTTTCAATATAACAATCAAGAATGTTTTTTTGTAAAGGTGAGGGAAGATATACATATAACACAATAATATGTTTTCAGAGGAATTACCTCTTCCGCCTATCACTAATTCCACCCATACATCCTGACAGTCGCTTTCCAGATGTGACATTCTACGAGAGCAGATATATTTGGATACTGCAATGAGCACCCCGCCACCAGGACCAGGTTTATTACTATGGAAGCTACTAGTCTCCCGGTCGCGCCTGTACATTAGATATCGCTCACTAAAAAGTTCGCCATCGTATATAGTATTGTTAAGCCATGTTTCGCATAAGAAAATGACATCGTAATTAGAACCCCCTTAATACACTATTATAAAACTCTGTGGTTTTTTGTGCGGAGGCCGCGTACGTGTGTTTAACGTATTGAATTTTAAGCCTTATTAACTGTACGCTTAGCTTGAGAAAATTTAGATTAGCTTATGATAACCGTTGCAATGTTATTGAGTTTCGCACAAGTATGTATTACGATGTATCCGTCTTTCGCATGTAAATGCGGCCGCCTCGAACCCATACATGCTTTTACTGCAACTCCCTAGCTCGAGCGCGCGCCGACGCATGGAGATACTTATTTTCAGGCGACAGATTTTCTGTTACGTATATGGCAGTCTTTTTTTCTGTTCCGAAGCCGAGATGCCCGGTGTTCAGTTTATCTTGCGGATGATGTTTATTGTACTTTATAGTTGCGGCCAAAAGCGTATCTCGCGAGCGAGGGCTGTTTAACTTAATTAAAATTGAGCGGGGACGTGGGCTCTCAGGATTCTTTTTCGCAATACGTGAACATTAAATTTATCCGCTTCATTTACAGGACAAGATACAGGTTTTACCAAGTTGCTTAAAAATGGACAATAGGTTTTCAGACTTCCTTTCTGGAACGCATTGGATTTCCAAGTTTGAGGCGCGGGAGATTTGTTCGAGTTGGTTAAAGCGACTGATGATAGAGTTTAATTCATTCCGGAGGCATTCCTTCTCCTTTAAGATCGTCTCAATGTTGCTTTTATATGTAGTAATTTCAGTGTTTAGTTTGTCAAAAGAGTCGCTAATAAAATTTATGGAATCCTTTATAGAACCAACTTCGTTCCTAAAAGCTTTCAATTCACTGTTTAAGTCCTCCTTTATCTCCCTAATATATTCCTTAATGAAATCTCGAAGTTCCTCCTGCATAATGGTACGCAGCTCCACGCGTGACACACATGAGCCGGAGCAGCCGCTTTGCGCGGCTACGGAAGCGACTATGGCCGCTTGTTTGGACGTTCCCTGCTTTCCACGGCGTGATGTCACATTGGCGTCGGCGTGGGCACTACTAGTAGGTGTTGACGGACGGACCGGCGTATTTGAATTATCACTGCGCGGTTTTTTGCTACGACACTCAGGGCATATCCAACTCATCTTGGTGTCAGAAGAGAGTCTCTCGAATTCGGTGGGCGAAACACCAACACATAGGCCATGATGAAAACGTAAACAGGTGCAGCATTCTAAGAAATCGTAGTAGTCAATCGTTGAATGACAAGCGGCACATTGATGCATGTTTTTTTATTTTTTATTTTGCGCCCGAAGCAAATATGGGCAACCCTCCGGAAAGCGGGGGAGGGAGGTTGGGAATGCTCATAGCATACCACGCATCGGGCTGCGTGGTTATGTGGTGACTTTTACCCACTAAACCCAACCTTTTAGGAATTGGCTTAACGGTCTAACTAGAGATCTCTAAGCCGTATACGAACGCGACCCTTTTTGGCAGAAAGGAGGGCGCATTTGATGCATGGTGAGTGTTGTTTATTATAAACAACTGGGTTTGACGTGGGATGGTCCGCACAGGTAGCACAAGCGGGTGCGAAAGTGGGACAGCAGTTATGTCGATTATCTCTTATCGCGGCCGGGGTGCGGCAGGTCGTCCCGCAAATTAACAGCAGCGCGACGGAGCTGTTTTATTATAATTTTTTGTTAAAAACGCACTATGCACTCACGGGAAAATAGCAAGAATTACTACGTCGTTCACCTTTTTAGTACACAAAATCGCGCGCACGGATCAGGTATTTCATTAGATAGACCGATAACACGTCCACTACGAAAGCTTGTTTGGACGACAATTGATTTGGCGTTGAGCAATATATAGATTGCGATTGACATTGCAAATGACAACACTACCTTATGTAGTGTTGTCATTTGCAATAAGCGTGAACTGTAAATTTTTATTGTTATCTAATAAACCAGATCAAGTATAAAACTTGTGAGCACCTCTGGTTTTTTTTGTCATACAGTCCATATCCAAGTTGTTCCTGGTCCTTCGAGCCGGACGTGGTTCATATCTGAACAGGTGCTTTTAGGAACAGAATTAAACCTTAAAGTTATCACCCTCGTATTCCGGTGAAGTGATACCTGGCATAGTCTAGTTACACTGTGAGGCAGTATACACACAGGAATCAGACGCGATAGTACGGCTGGAGGAAAGGAGATAGTGGACCACATTAGTAAACGGAAACAGCCATATTATAAGTCAAGCAGTGTTATGTAGACGGCAATTTCAACCCTATTGCCGTAAGGAAAGTGCGGTGCAGAAGTGAGTGGTAATCATTAAAAACTGTGAGTACATTTTTAAATTCATTATTGTAGAATAGTGAGCCTTATTACCAAGCAAGCGTCAACCTTTAAAGTATTTCATTTATTTTGTTAAAATTTGAACTTTATTTATAAGAAAAATTAAACATAGAAAAAGTGCTAGTGATTATAAGACTTATTATAGAACTTAGAAAATAATTTTAATGTTAATTGTAGACTTAGTTAATTTTAAGTAAATTTTGATTAAGACAGGGAACCTATGCCCGATTTTTTTCTCAGATATAAGTTGTTAAAACACTTGTAAAAATTTAGTTAAATTTAGTTTTAGTTAAAACAGTTAATACAATTGTGAGAAAGTTATTCCAATATACTCTCTGAACTTTTGTTATTTACTAAATTGTTGTTACTTGCTTTTATCAAAGATGTCTTTACAAACACTTATTAAGATTCAAGAGGATATTTATAATAGATTGTCTAAGGCGAAAATAATTTTAAGAAGTCACCCAAAGATAGCATTACTAAACAATACGTTGAAACTAGATTGGAGAATATACAAGAATTGTGGTCTCAATTTACATCTACACATATTTTTATTATAAAAGATGATTCTATGGATTAAAACTCAACTTCATACGTTAGGAATGATGTGTACGATAATACCGAAACTATTTACTTATACTTAAAGTGTGAATTGAAGACTATTTTATCTAGTTTAGAAGGCGATATTTATCAACAACCTAACAAGTCAATTTCAAATGAATTAGGAATTAGCAATATGGGCATTAAATTACCTAAGATAGTTGTACCTACTTTTTCGGGAAAGTACAATGAATGACCGACATTTAGAGACTTATTTATTTCTGTAATTGACAAAAATAGTTCGCTTGTTAAAGTTCAGAAACTTCATTATTTAAAAAGTTATCTGACTGGGAAAGCCGAGCAATTGCTTAAGGCATATTCCTATATTGGAATGCAATTATGACAAATGTTGGTCTCAGCTTGAAACACGGTACAACAACAAAAAATATTTGTCATATTGTATATTAAAAAGATTATTAGGTCAAAAGAATATTCAAACCGAATCATCTGAAGCGCTTAAGGAGTTGATGGATACTACCTCTGATTGTTTGGGTGCCTTATCAAACTTGGGCATTCATATAAGTTCATGGGATATAATTATAATTCATATCCTTACACTAAAATTAGATGCTAATACTAGAAAAGATTGGGAAATAAATGTCACTAGCAATGTCGATTCTGATAAGTTACCTACATTTGCACAATTTAAAGAATTTTGAAGGGTCGATACAGAGCTTTTGAGTTTTTAGAACCTGATTCAACGCACAAAGTAACTAAAAATAATTTTAATAGAAATAAATCTTTACATGTTATGAATACTATTCTGTTGTGTCAATTTTACAAGGAAGAACATAAATTAGGCTTTTGTAAACAATTTTCGAAACAAGATATTGACACTCGGCGTAAGTTTGTGTAGGACAATAATTTGTGTTTTAATTGCTTGGGCCAGAATCACTCTGCCAGGTATTGCCGCAATACAATAACATGCAGAATTTGCAAACGCAGACATCATTCTTTGTTACACCCAAAAAACAGATAAATTTCATCATACAGAGGTCCAAGCGCATGATGATACGGATGCAGAAATATCATATGAGGCAGTTGAAGAACAAGGTGATATGGTTGCCCGTTTTTCGAAAGGGCACGCTAGTCAAGTGTTGTTAGCTACAGCACTGGTCACAGCATTGTTTAAAAACGGAGCTGAATTCACAGTTCGTGCGCTACTAGATCAGAGCTCTCAAGCGTTCTTCGTAACTGAAAAGTGCAATATTTAGGTTTAAAGAAACAACCCACCAAGGGAATCATTTCCGGAGTTGGCGGTGATAATAATTTAATATCAAAATCAATGGTTTATATAAAAATTCAATCAAAATATGATCCGACTGTCGAGTTTGTAGTTAAGGCTTACGTATTGAAGTCAATTACATCTCTTCTTCCTGCAAGAAAAATAACTGAATTAAAATGGGTGAAAATAAACAATATACCACTAGCAGGTCCTCAATATCATATACCTCATATGGTCAATATGCTCTTGGGAGCGGAGTTTTACTCTAAAATACTACAAGATGGTGTGAAAGGGGATCCTGGAGGTACAATAATTGCACAAAAAACTATTTTAGGTTGGATTTTGTCTGGAGCAATTCGATCAAGTGATGTTGGTGGTGTTAGGTGTTAAGAAAATTTTGTGAATTGGAAGCAGAGCCAAATAATAACAAAAAGATTCTCACAAAAGAAGAATCTTGGTGTGAAGATCTGTTTCGTCAAACTACAACAAGAAATGCAGATGGTAGATACATAGTGCGTTTACCTTTTCGGAACGACGATCCAGATTGCAAATATGGCCAGTCTAGGGATATTGCACTGCAACGATTTAAGTATTTAGAGGCGAAATTGAATAAAAATATTAAATTGAAGAATGAGTATGTAAATGTAATCAATATCAAACTTGGACACATAGAAAGGGCAGATCAATTCCAATTACAAAATAAGTTTGCTGTATACTTGCCACATCATGCCGTAGTGCGTAATGATAAGGACACCACAAAGGTTCGGGTTGTATTCGATGCTTCGTGCAAGGGAAAGAATGGAGTGTCGCTTAATGACGATTTATTGATAGGACCTCCTCCTCAATCTGAATTAAGGCACGTCATGATGCGATGGAGAAGGCATCCAATTTGTTTGATTGCGGATGTCGTAAAGATGTATAGGCAAGTAAGAGTGGCTGATGAAGACACAGACTTCCAAAGAATATTGTGGAGAGAAAACGATAATTCTAGCATAGAAGATTACAAATTACTTACAGTTATATTTGGTATTGCATCAGCTCCATACTCAGCAGTAAAGGCAATGCAACAAGTAGCTCAAGATGAAGGTGACGAATTCCCACTTGCAGCTGAAAGAGTCATGACTGATTATTACATGGATGATCTCATGACAGGGTGTGAAAATGTGGATACAGGCCTAAAAATTTACAATGAAATGAATTCTCTTTTAGCAAAAGGCGGTTTTCAGTTGCAAAAATGGTCAAGCAATAGCGATGATCTGCTAAAAATAATAGAAAAGGATTACTTGGATAAGGATAGGAGTGAAACATTTAATATTGTTACGAGCTTGAGGTTCGTGACAATAAAAATTGCCGATAGAATTACCTAAATTAACACTTTAATTCACTTTACACTAATTAAAGTTAAAAACACTAATAATTAATCACACTGATTTACTTTATTCCGCTCCGAAGCTTCGCTTGTCTCACCGAATCCAATACTTCCTCGATCGCATCTTGCAGCGCCTATTTATATAAATTAGCAGCGAAATATCCAGAATATTCAAGTAAACACGCGCAAGGTACCGAGAGTTCGTGATTCAATTTCAAGAAGTTTAGTTCTTCGGTTCGAGACTAGATGGCGCTAGTGCCGTCGACTTGAGCGCTTAACAATATTAAACAAGACGAAATAATTAAAACACTCGGACTTACCTGGAACCAATGCCTTGACTCTTTTCAGTATGCAGTAATACTTCTTCCTCTAACTGAACCGATAGCAAAAAGAAAGGTTATTTCAGATATTTGTAGACTTTTTGATCCCTTGGGTTGGGTCGCTCCTTGCGTAATATTAGCAAAAATTGTCATTCAAAAGCTCTGGATTGCAGGAATTGAATGGGATGACGTAGTACCGGTAAACATAAAAGATGAATGGACGACTTACCGAATTGACTTACTCAGGTTAACTGAATGTTCTGTACCGAGGTGGATGGGAATGAAAAAATCTGATAAAAGAATTGACTTACATGGCTACTGTGATGCGTCAAAACAAGCAT